ATACATACTGACAATAATTACTGTTTCCTTTCGCAATACTCTGCTCCCGATGTATCCTCTACAACGGTCATACAAGTACTTTACTCAGTTTTTACTGGCTTTAGGCTACCCGCGTATATTCATTCGAACAGAAAGTCTTCATTTATGCCCGAACGCGTACGGCGATTGCTACAAGAGCAAGGAGTAGCCGTATGTAGATCAAGGTACAGTACGAGAGGTATAATGGAATAATTTGGAAAACTCTTCAACTAGCAGTTGCTGATAAAAGGGTAGCTTTAGAGAATTGTTAACAACTTGGTAACAACTATTCCCAGAGACCCTGCATGCAATTAGAACGCTTCTATGCACCGCCACTAACGAGTCCTCCTGTCTCCTAGAAGTTCGACTGGATTGTCCTTACTATCTTGGCTCTCGAAACCGGGATTGATATTACAAAAAAAAAAAAAAAAAAGACACACGACTGAATAAGAACGAACGACGGGTGGATCAAGTGTAGCTTCTAGACGAAGTATATGCGTGTCCGTTACCCTGATGGACGGGAAGACACAGTCTCACTAAAGGACTTGGGTGCAGTAGGGGATGAATCGGGATCCACAAGCCTAAGTGACGTGTCCTCAGGACACTTCAACTGACTATGAAGAAACAAAAACATGGTATCCTTTTGAAGATTACGAGGGACCCTTGAGCTCTGGTCACTCAAGTGGTGACGAACGGGTTTCACAGAAGAGAGCACACACACCTAGCGATACTCCAGAAGACGAGCAAGACGCTCGTAGAAGATTACGAAAACGCAGCAGAAATAAATGCAGTTCTATCGAAAAAAAAAAGTAAGAACCTTATCATGCTCCTGGCATTTCGACACGCGCTCGCAGACAGCAAAGAATAAAGCAGCGGAGAATATGGTATGATCCATCTCCCTCATTAACGAATCTGTCCTGAGTATGTTCAGAAGAACTCTGCTGATATGCAGAATTCGCCAAACATCCGGGTTTGCGAACACACTACTTATCGACCATTCTGCTTTCGAGCCAAGAGGATCCAGATGAGGCTATGCCGAAGGGCAGAGTCTCGTCTGGATACGTAGATGTTATAGTGGAACACACATACTCTATAGTTAACAGACTTTCTCACCTATAATAAGTAGGAGTAGTAGCAGTCGCCAGGGAAGCTCAGTGAGTTGTGTGAGTCAGTCGATGTCGGACATTAAAGTATCAACCACAACTAGATTGCTGCGTCATTAACTATTATATCAAGTTCCTAACGTTTTGTACGCCGAACCTATTTTAGGACCGACTTAGTGAAATACAAGCCTCCACTGTGAAACTACTCTATAACAGTAGACAAACCTGATCCCTTTTATACGGGGTATACGGGGAATTTTTGCCCAAACCTATGGGATCGGAACGCCCCCCCACACACACACACACATAAAAATCGGCCTTGTGCTACTTCCTGTCTTGTGGTAAGGTTGGTAAATACTAGTTCGCTAAACCTCCGGGTTTGCGAGCTCACTACTTGTCGACCTTTCTGCCCTCACGCCGAGAGGAACCCCAAAAAGTCTCGTCGGGAGAGGTAGACAAACCCGACCCCGTTTATACGGGGTCTATGGGGAATTTGTAAAAAAAAACAAAAAAAAAAAAGGTCTTGTGCCACATCCTTCTTTGTGAGGAGGACTCGGGTAAATATCGAGTTCGACAAACCTCTGGATTTGCAAACACACTACTTGTCGACCTCTCTGCCCTTCGGGTGGAGAGGAACCGAGACGAGGCTAGTCTTAGGATGAGGACAGCCACCTGACCCTGTGTATGCGGAGTCTACAGGGAACTTTTGCTCGAGCGTACGCGCTCGGAAAACCGGCCTTGTGCCACATCCTGCTCTATGGGGAGCTCGTGTAAATACCGAATTCATTAAAGCTCTTAGCTTGTCGGACTCTCTGCCTTCGGACAGAGAGAAACTTAGACGAGGCTATGCAGAGTCTCGTCTGGGGAGGTAGACTGCCACCCGACCTCGTGTATGCAGGGTGGAGGGGGTATTTTTTTGTCCGAGTGTACGCGATCGGAAAACACTACGTTAAAAACCGACCTTGTGCCACATTTCGGTTTGTGGAGATACTTGGATAAATACCGAGTTCATTAGAGGTTACTGATAAGCAAATACCTATTGTCTCGAACAATTCTACACCTTCTACCTGTTTTCTCTGAATGACATATTATTCTATCTTTTCCTTTCGTGTTAATATTCTCCCCATTTATGTCATTGTTCAAGTTTAATATATTTATTTTTTGTTTGTTTCTTTACTTTATCTATTTTATGCGACTGGATTTTTCTCTGTTCTGCAGCTCTGCGCCAAAGTTAAATCTGGTTCCTAGAGAACTTCTCGTAGGTTTTGTCCTGTATTCCTTTTATTATTTGTAGTTTTAGCATATCGCTTTCTTTGGCATTGTTCTCTAGCACTTGAATTCAACAAATAATCGTCAAAATTCTCGTCTTCAAGTTTTTCTCTTCTAAGCAAGTCACTCGGTTCACCATCAACGTCTTCATAGGTTTGCAGAAGTCTTTGAATGCCGAGAAGAGACACCTCAACACCGCCTACTCAACACCGCCTATTGAGCGCCGGGATAACTCAAGACTGATACAACTCAGGTCGAGACAACCCAGCACCAGAAAAACGTAACTTTTTTTTTTATAACTGAATAAAAGTAATTTATCAAAGATTAAAACCTTAGTGTATATTTTTTCAAATCAGGCCTTTGAAAAGGCATTATGTAAAATATGTAACAGATTTTGTTTTTAATTATTTTTAACAAAGTAAATTATTTATTTTGAATAAAAATATTTTAGAATCTTGATTTACTTTATTAAAAAATAAATTACATTATGATTTACTTTAAGAAAAACTAATTAAAAGCAAGTGTGTTTTATTGTATTATTTTTATATGTCAATTTACTTTATTAAAATGTAGTAAATTTCTTTACTATTTACTTTATTAAAAATAATTAAAAACAAAAACTGTTTCACATTTTACATAATGCCTTTTCAGATGTCTTATTTGAAGAAAAATATTCACGAATTAAGGTTTTAATCATTAATAAATTACTTTTATTAGGTTATAAAAAAGTTTCTGGTGATGAGTTGTATCTGTCCTGAGTTGTCCTGCACCATTTAAATACTTGCGCAAAAACTTCAAGCGTTCTGTTCACTTTATTTACAATACTTTTTCCTTCGGCATTTTTAAATACGATATTTTTTTTTTATATATTTATTGGCCTCTTCTCTACAAGAAGTAAATAAATAAACTTTTTTCTTTAGAATGTTCGCAACCTTAGCAAGTATTGTCTTGCTCCTCTCCTTCAAATTTTTGAAATTCCAAAAATAGGAATAGTTTTTCCAGCCATTCGTCAAATGCTCCGTGTAAATTTATAGCTGTCCAGTCAAAACTTTGGAGAGAGTTAGTCGACATTATCTTGTAATGATCGCACATACTCAGTTAGTTTTCCTGTCTCATTCAGTTCACTACTTCGGTTCGTGTAACATTTGAAGTCTTTCTCGCTTGTGTTCTGTTGTATTCAAACTATCCATGCAACCAAGCCCTTTTAGGCGTTCACCAATCGAAGCCGTTTATACCACTAGATCATTAAAGGGGGGATAATTCATAGTCTTTTATTTGACTCAACAAACAGTTATCACGAAATGAAAGACCAGTTAGGGCTCCACCAACAGAAATTATTGCTTTGTGTCTTGTGGAATATGAAAGATGGCGTCCATTACGAAGCTACTGGAATATGAAAGGATCACCAGTGCAGATGTTTATTGCCAGCAAATCATCAGCTAAACGAAGCATTACGCAGAAAACTTTCTGCTTTGGTAAACATAAATGGTAATATTCTCCAGAATTAAATGCAAGGGCACATTCTACAAAAACAAACGGAGGAAAAACTAAGATTGTTAAGATAGGGTTTTTTTTCCCACATCCTCCATACACACCAGATTTAGCACCTGCAGATTTTTATTTATTTTAACGACTAGAACATTTCATAAGTTGCAGAACATTCACAAACAAAAAGTTTGAATCATTTTTAGAAAATGTTTCCAAAAACACCAAGATTTCTCTAAATATGCCTTTCCGTTGGGCTGCAGTTGTTGAAAAATAAGTTGATTACACTTTTGATGAATGTTATGTAGATAAATGTAGCTTGTATTTGATTTTTATATCCTTTCTTGTAAAACGTAATTACCTCCCGACTGCAATAGTATTTGTTCTATTAATAATAATAGATCACTTAGTAATACTTATTACTAATGCTTAGTAATAATTTGAAAGAAGAAACAAGGACACGTGTGTATTACCCTATAACCGCATTACACACGAGATTGACTTGTACCCATCGTCTACATTCCAATTAAACAATAAATTCTGATTATATTTATTAGTCAGAAACCATAAAAGAAGAATTAAAAATGTTTATTCTATTGTAATAATTATACAAGGTTACTTGCTTTTTTGTTGTTCTAAATAACCGCAGTTCGTATGGGAAAAGACAGAATCTTTACTTTATTTCTTGTCGTCATTTCTACCCGGATGTTTTTCGAAGTGAAAAAAGATAATCTTCAAAATAGGAAAGAAAAAAATAGAGGAAAATGTCCAAAAATCTGTCACTCCACCCAAAAAAAAGAACGTGACTTCATGAAAGAATCAACTGGACTTGACTTAATATGAGATTTGGCGTGCATCTACGAAGAAACTGTAGCGAGGTTTGAAGTGTGGCCGTTAAGAGCGTTCGTTGCAACAACAAACAAAAACTGTCGCTAAAAGGAAAAAGTACGGAGTGACCCAAAATACTGGTTAAGACCCAGGACACCTGCTAGATCCATCTTGAATAATTAATAAATTACAGCAGCAAGTTTTGATCGCTAAAATTAATTATTCTTAAAGTACAGTTGCATTGATCATTACTCTATTCTAAGTTGCCTGTTTAATAGCTGAGCATTTGTATTCCACCAGTAAGCCTTGTTTAGATAGATAGATAGATAGATAGATAGATAGATAGATAGATAGATAGATAGATAGTGTAGCGGACCGTTGGGTGATGAGGTGGAGAACACACGTGGTGTTAAAATTTCCTGCTAGCCGGTCCAACTACATGAGAAAGTTGAACTTTAATTAAGTCCAAAGAAAACAAACAAGACCGATACATATATGTAAACAAATATATATATTAATAACAAGTTACAGGTTACAAGCACATGGACAGTTACATTGAGTGCGTGTGGTGAATATTATGTGTGTGTAATCTGGTGAGTGTTCGTACGTGCGTGTATTGTTCTTAGCGTGTTCCCAGAATTTGGGAAACGCTGTATCTGTGAGAGCGAGATGGTATATGGTCCAAGGCCCGAGGAAAAAAGATCGAGGCGAAGGGTCAGCCAGTATTCATAGCCAGGAGAGAGAGACCCCTGGTGAAGGGTTAAGGATCTGAGGAGGAGCTAACTCCGACAACAGATAGATAGATAGATAGATAGATAGATAGATAGATAGATAGATAGATATTATATTATGTAAGCAAATACATGGATATAGATCCGACAGTATGAAGAAAAATATACTGAAAAAACAAATCCTAATTTGAGATTATGCTGTTTTAATGTTTAATGTCAACGTCGGACGTTTCGGTCTAATAGACCATCTTCAGCATATATTCATAAAACATAATTAACATAGACCATATACAATTCAACATGAAAAAGACGATGGACATAAACATTATGTATATACAAAGTCTCTAGTTTAATCCGAAACAAGGCCAAATTGGAACAGGGAGATTTAGACAATTTTTCTCACTAGAATATATGTTACAAATTTATAATTCTACCATTTAGCATTGCATTGAATATTACTGTCACATCTGGTCTGGTGTTTCTGTCATGTAGCGTAGAGATTCTTCATAAGATTCAAAGAAGAATCTGCAATCTTATCTCGGCTTCAGTCACTTCCCCCACCGTTGTAGTGTAGCTTCCTTGTAATTTTTCTATAAATATTTTGCATGGTAATTATTCTGAGGAACTTTCTTCTTTGGTACATCAGCTTTATGAATTTAAGTGCAGTACTAGATTAGAAGGAGATTTTCATCATTTTACAGATGAAATTGCTAGATGAAACCGTAAGTGCTATGCTAATAGTCCCTTCTCTCGCACTTCTTTCTTGTGGAACTGGCTTCTTGTCGACTTTGATCTACAAAAATGTTAATGAAATGTCCATCGCTATCTTCTGTTGCCTTAGTTCCTGTTCTTTTATTGTTTTCTCTTTTTAATAAGGTTTTCTTTTCAGACTTCTTCATGACCAATAATCCATTGCGTTTTAGTGACCTTATCGCATTGCTTGGTATGAAATGGTTAAAATAAAACCAAAATGATTGTATTACGCCAATGTTCATAGCGAAGAGAGTCTGCTTGCTCTGAAAATTAGAATTTGAAATTCTGGCTTTTATCGCCACTCGCAAAACTCTTAACACCATTTGGAAATACTTATTTGACACAACAGGTTAATTTTTCCCTCTCTCTTTTTCTGTCTTTAGGAAGCAAGAGTGGGTGGGGAGAAGAAAAGAAAAGAGACGCGAGAGGAAAATAAGGGGGGAAAAGAATAAAATAAATGGATTGAAGAAAAGAAAATTCTAAGAAACCACTGCAAAAAGAAAAAAAAATGAAACTGTCTTGGTATGGTTGAGGAATTCATTTTTAAAAAATGAAAAACGATGTCCAATAATGAAAAGAAAATGGCAAACAAATTTATTGATGATGCTGAGGAAACTGAAAATAAATCTTTCAGAGAAAAAGAAAATAACAAATAAAAAGTACTAAACGAGTGACTGAAGGGACAAGGAAATGAAGCCCACGTGGCTTGGCGAGAGAAAGACGTTCACAGTACAGCTGTCTGCATAGGCGGGAAGTGCGGGTATGTGACGTTTGCACGTGACATTAAAGCCGACTGTCAGGTTGTCGTGAGCTGACCCGGCGGTCAAACACGTCCCTGCCATATCCACATCAGCTGTGTTTGGCCAGTAGGCACCTTCCATCCCCAAACTCGTAAACCCCGTCTTTTTTTTTCCTCGGCCAGTCGATTGGGTTCCCGGCGACAGCTCAGACACAATCATACTGGCGTAGATCTTTTATGAGTAAACTGCTTAACCATTGTTAATCAGATATACATACACATTACACCGGTTTCGCCCCTCCCTCTCTCTCTCTCTCTCTCTCTCTCTCTCTCTCTCTCTCTCTCTCCTCCTCCTCCTCCTCCTCCTTTTACACACATAAACACACGCACGCACACACACGCACCTGCATGCTTCCACACCCCAATTGGTTTAGTGCCCAAGCGCGTGTTAAGCCTACTAGAGTAAACTGGGTTCCATACCTATATATATATGCAACCAATCTAGAAGACAGAAAATAAACTGGGCTCCATACCTATATATATAGGCAACCAATCTAGAAGACAGAAAATAAACTGGGCTCCATGCCTATATATATAGTTACCTGCCTTTGATTGTTTTGTGTAATACAATGTTCTTGAGGGTGAGAAATAAAGTTGATTTGTTAACAGGAATTTAACTTCTGCGTAAGGAATTTGGTTAGTGAATGGGAATAGAGTTCACTGGTGAGTTTTGGTGAGTGAGTGAGAATATCGTTAAGTTTGTATAATGTTCGTATGAACGAAAAACTTAAGATTGTGTGACATGAAGTTTAGTTGCAATTCGTTTGATGTCCCAATGCTTGCTGGCGATTGTGAATGAGTCTATTTTTATTTGCTTCGGGTGGCTCACAGAGATTTGGCGCGAACTTGGATTTCACACACGAGCTGTAAAAATGAGTTAGTGGGTGGATAGTCACGCCTACTTGTATATTTATTAACCAATGAGGGCTCGAGATTTTTTTTGAAAGTGTATGAAGTTGAAAGTCTTCTGTGATCCACAGATTTGACCAAACTATTTGGGGGTATTGGAATAATGTAGAATTTGGGTTTTACAAAATAAAAAATAGGATAAAATTAAGACAGTATTTAATTATGAATGTTTTAATTGCTTTTATGAATAAAATATATTATGGACACTATTGTCTTAAGAAAAAACCTTTTCGATGAATTATTTACAAGAATACTTTTATTCATCTAAGTTATTTAGCTTTGCATATTTTTTCTCTTGTGTTTTTTCTGTGCATTGCTGATGGGAAAAGGTTAGTTTATGAGATTTTAATTTATACTTTTAGATCATGTGGTTGTAGGTAGGGCAGATGGAATTTGTTTTCATCTTTGCGTTTGCTTTGAATATACGCTCCTTTAGCGCTAGAGGGCGTCGTCAGTGATGTTCTAGAAAAGGATCATTGGACAGTTTCGGGTCTTTCAAACATCATACTGACATCACCAAATCGACCCCCCTCAGAGCTGATCAGACTCTGAAACACCCTCTAAAAAAATGCTTGTTTGTGCTGACTTTTATAAGAATACCCCGTAATCTCACATTTGATTGGAGATTGACCAACAGCTAATCACAACGGTGCGAGATCTATTTAAGCCGTTTACGGGTAATTTTTTTCTTTTTCTTTTTTTTTTTTTTTTTGGTGGACACCCCTTCATCAGATACTTAGAAGGTAATTATGTTTTCCGTGTTTACCCACTTCCCCTCACATTTCATTTCACCAGCAATAATTACTATATACAGAGATAAGAAAATACAGCCATTGAAATTAATAAATAGAATACAGCGAATCAAGCCGAGAGTGCTTATAAATAAAACCGTTTTAAAAATTTACGAATAATAATGTATGTATAAGAAATAAATAAATTACAGCGAGTTAAAACCGAGAGATCTTATAAATTACATAAAACATCTAAGACATGAGATGGAAATGAGGTCTAATCTTTTGTTTGAGATTTTATTTTGTTCTGAGAAGGTAATTATCACTATTTTTCTTCTGTAAGCATTGGTTGCATCATTTTGAGGTGTTGCTGTAAGCTGGAGTTCTTTTCTATTTTTCTTATTTTGGCTAAAACAGCACCACTAGCTAACAGCCTCACTGTAGAAGCAGCTGTTGTTAGTCCACTGATAGAAAACGACCTTTCATAAATCTTTGCTTTCCATAATTCAGTTTGCTATTTTTATCTGAATTCTTTAAGACGATGTGTTACCATTATACAGCAGTTTTTTTTTTTTCAAACGGGCGCCTCGAGATAAAATTAAATTCACCGCGAAAAGAGCAATATTATATTTCCAAACGTGAAAAATACAAACTAAATTAGTATCAAAATTCATATATAGAAATCAGCTACAACTCGAGAAGACACTTGATTTCCTGTTGTTAGGCTGGCGGATGGGTAATTGGATGCTTGCAGAGTAACCTGCCTACTTTTTCGTAGTTGACTGCACGAAGTTTATATGTAAAGCACACCAAAATATCTTGACATGTTCTAAAATGCATCATGAGTTAGAAAAGTTTGAAAACTGCTTTTATACTGTACTTTCTTAGGACTCTGTTGCTATTTCAGTTTCTTTTGATTTTTCTGTGGCGTTTTTTAAATGCAATAAAGTTCAGGGACTGCTTAACGGAAACCTTTATTTGTCCAGCTGTTGTTCTTGTCATTTCACTTACATCCTTAGTCGTGGCTTCAATCCCCTTGAGTTTGCTTCTAGTATTTCTTGTGTATTATGTGGTTCACGACAAGTAATACCAACTGGTTTGAATCGAAATTAATATCAATATGAAAACCTTTACTCTAAGAGAATTTGATCTGCAATGACTCCCAATATGTTATTTGACTCACCCAAGTCTAGGGTTAACTGTTATCTTTCACACATATGTTCACAAACAGTGTTTCTTACCTCCTACGCTTACCGCTCATGCAACAACATCATTCACTAACCCTCTACCTTTAGTGGCTCTTGGGCTTTGTATTGGTTGTATATTAGTAAAAAAATGGTAATTATGAAATTTTCACTTTTCCAGTGTATTCCACGTACCTGAAGGTTTCATTCACTTCGATAATATCGAAAATGACAAATGTATACGATTCGACCTACAGTAATAATGATAATTCAACATTACATCGAATCAAAAAGCCAACTCGTCAGTACAACAAAAATTTTTATCTTTAATTCTCTGTGATGGTCGAAGGCAGTATTCTGTGGTAAAAATTTACTAGACCAACTTGTGAACCATTAAACTAGTGAGATGGACAAAGTGTGCATACTAAGCTTACCTTTAGCACGAAGTTACAATTGTAGCGGACCGTGTGCTTACGTGTTTTTAAATTAGGAACACGTGCGTTTTTTCTTGCTAGAAGATGGTCCACTGCAAAAACATGGCGGACTCAGAGATTGAATCCACTATAAAGAAGTGTAAAGAAATCCAACAAGACCGATATATATATATATATATATATATATATATATATATATATATCAACAAATATATGTATTAAACAACACAGTTTACAATGGACATAGACATTAGCATTTGTGTTTGTGTGTGAACGTAAAGAGTTTGTATTTTGGTGAATATCCGTACGTACGTGTATGTGTGTATGTTCATGGCGTCTCCCACAAATGGGAAGACGCAATCTTCTGCGAGAGCTTACATTGTGGATGTGTTCGCTGAAAATGAAGAAAAGAAAAAAAGGACGAGGCAAGAAATCGCCCAGTATAGTGTAGGGAGAATGCCCCCTAGTGAACAATTTGGACAATTAAAGAGGAGTTAACTCCGACACAATAATGGTATAACCAGTGAGGACTGAACTCATTATATATGTGAATATAATCCATGAGACGATTTGGTTAAGTCTTACGTCGCCGTAGATATTCTCAGTTGTGTACAAGAATAAAAGAGGTAAAAAGAGAAAAAAATAAAAAATGAGTTATCGAAGAATAAAGCAAGACTTTCAGCGATTTCCCATTGACAGGCTATATTTTCAAAATCCGTCATCGTTCAAATATATTCTTGTCTTTAGAGAATTCTCTTGCTAAAAAATCTTCATTTACCTGGAACATTGCAAAAAGTCACTTAACAGTAATTCATTGCTGAGTAAAAGAAAATGATCTGGGAGAAGAGAATTATGAAATTTCCTGAAAAATGACCGAACATGGTGCAACAAATCAAATATTGTTCAATAAAATTAGTGTCGGATAGAGAAGAGAAAAACAGAAAGTAGTCTCGTGAATAGGGGGTTCATAGCTGATAAACAAGTCAAAAGAAATGTCAACAGATACTATAGCGTGATCCGAATTGCCTGGAGGACAGAGGTTGAAATGTTTGACAAAAGCCAGAAGAGGAGATATGGAACACATCAAGTAAGGAAGCTTGTTGATCAGAATTATTCGGAAAACTAATAGGGAAATCTACTATTTAACTGAGAGACTTAACAACGGAAAAAATAAAAATCTGAATACTAGCAGCATCAGTAACATGATGAGCATTAAAATTACAAAAATGTTCGCAGATGAATGTCGAGAGAAAGTCATTCCTATACTGTCAGATATTTTGAAGACGGAACCGATAAAGGAACAAGAGGTAGCTAATAGGGTACAAGAAAGAAAGTCGAAAGCACATGAAAGATTCATCCAATGATTTAAAGGATGATTCCTTTACTATTTCACGGATGTAAACACCAAGACCATGAATATATATCCTAGAATCTTTTTAACAAAGAGGAAGATTGCCTGGAACAGAGAATTCATTGATAGTGATAGAAAAGTTTAAATTAGTTTCACAACACGCTAAGATATCTAGAGAACCTTTCAAGGGAAAAAGATTCTACACTACAGAAATTGGTACGAATACCATCAATATGGAAGAGAGAAGGGTTTAGGTGTTTTTTTGTTCATTGCTTTATTCTTATTTCTTTTAATTGTAACTGTCATGAGAAGATTATTTTCATTTTTAAGGAGAAAAAGGCCAAAGTAATTATCACTTTCTATCATCTATGACAATAGAAACCTACCGAAGGTGGCGAAGACTAAAATATGCTGTGGCCTCAGGGTTGCCCACCGGAAGTGCGTGCAGGGACACCTATCGATGCGTGACATGACACTACAACTACCCCGATATTATGCGATTGTTGACCGCAGTAGCCTCTCCTAATATCAGGCTATTTGCTACCAGTCGG